ACCAAGGTCATGGGTTTGGGTCCTGGAACTGGAAAAAGAAAAAAAGAAAACCTCAGTTAAAGCCCTGGAAGGCAATGAGACAAGCTGAGATAGTTCGGAAGAACAAGCAAAGAGGGTGCTGGACAGACCCTAAGGAACATGCTCTGCAGGGCTAGCCGATGAGGGGATCTTGGAGGAAAACTGAGAGCCAATGACTGGAGAGGCAGCGGCGGCGGGGGGTGGGGGGGTGTCCTGGCATGAAGGATGGTGCTGGGGCTGGCTTTCCTGAGAGCTGCGCTGACCAACAGCCTTGGCAAGGGCCATGCAGTGCTGGGGGCAGGCTGTGCATGGAAGCAGCAAGGGGCCATTCTGGTTTCAAGGAGCTGGCTGTGGAAGAGAGAGGGCATGTCTGAGGGGCCCAAGCAGCCCCACTCAGCAGGACTTGTAGTGTGTTCTGGCATCTGGCACTATGGACAGTGTAGTTTGTGGACCATTCTGTAATTCCTTCTTTGTCTGTGCTTTAAATTACTTGGGACAAATTCCCGGCACTGGGATTATTTTGTAGAAAGACACCATATATTTTAAGGGTTTTATTTGTCCTCCCAGATTTCCTCCAGGAAGGCCACACAGTTGATACTTGCAGGCTGTGCTGCAGACCAGCCCTGCCCTCCTTGACCCTTCAGCTGGCAGGGACTGGGCGAGGTCCAAGGCCCTGTTCTCTGTGGGCTTTCAAGCACAGGAGCCTCCTGTGCCTACTGACTGTCTTTGTGAATCACTACTTCCTGTGCGTAGGTAATGAGCAAGATGGCCCATCATTATCTGTGTTAATTTTTTAGGTCTTCATATATTAGCCCTTTGTCATGTGTTGCAGACACATGCCAGGCTTTCATTTTCTTTATATTTTTTATACAAAGAAGCTGAAGTATTTTCTGATTTCAGACATACATTAGTCTTTTTTATTCTTATTATACTTTCTGTCTTTATCATCATACTTTGGAAGTAATATATTTACTTTGGAAGCTATATATTTACCTAGATATTCTTTTAGTGCTTTTCTGATCCATCTATGTATTATATTGGTATGAGGCAGGAATCTAGTTTTATATTTCTCTGAATGTTTGCCCAGGTGACCCAGTACTAGCATTTGTCATAGACCAGGCACCCACGTCGTTTTGTGTCTTATTTCTGGGTGCCATCCTCTGTGCCATTTATCTGTACAGACCAGTCTTTTATCATTATCTGACTATTCTGCTTACTGTGGGTCCATGGCACGTTTTGTGTTTTGTTAGAGCAGAACTCTACACACTGCAACTTCATTGTTTAATTTTTTTAGTTTTATTTTTAAATTGTCACTTAATAATTATACGTATTTATGGGGTACACAGTAATATTTTTATACTTATATACACTGTGGTGATCAAATCAGTATAATTAGCATATTCATCACTGCAAACGTATCATTTCTTTGTGATGAGAACATTTGAACTCGCCTTATAGCCATTTGAAAACATACAGTAATCCATTGCTACTGTACTCCCCTAGCACTGCTATGGAATACTAGGACTTATTCTTTCTATCCAGATGTAATACTGTATATGTTAACCAACCTCTCCCTAATGCAACTTTTTATTTTTATTTTTTTTATTTATTTATTTTTTTAAAAAGCTGACCGGTAAGGGGATCTTAACCCTTGACTTGGTGTTGTCAGCACCACGCTCAGCCAGTGAGCGAACCGGCCATCCCTATGTGGGATCCGAACCCAGGGCCTTGGTGTTATCAGCACCTCTCTCTGCCGTGTGAGCCACGGGCCGGCCCCTAATGCAACTTTTTATTTTTATTTTTTTTTCTTAAAAAGCTGACCGGTAAGGGGATCTTAACCCTTGACTTGGTGTTGTCAGCACCACGCTCAGCCAGTGAGCGAACCGGCCATCCCTATGTGGGATCCGAACCCAGGGCCTTGGTGTTATCAGCACCACACTCTACCGAGTGAGCCACGGGCCGGCCCCTAATGCAACTTTTTAAAACTAATGTTTTTATTATAGGAGATTGTGTTTGCTTTCAGCATTATTCAGGATAGTTTGGCAGTTAATCAAGAAATTGCCAGTAAGAGGAGAGATTCTCAATATCATATTAGCATAATCCCCATTTAGGAAAAGGACATAGGGGTCCCTGAAATCTCTGGGTGTTGTTTTTCTTTCTGATGGAAGTGGCAAGTCTGCTGTTGGGGTCAGCCCCTGAGGCTCCAGGCCTCCAAGGCACTGGCTGGGAACACTGAGATCCGAGATCAGTGTAGGTGGACTTGGGCTCTGGCCCACCCTCTGGCCGTATGCGCTGTTAGATCCCAGGGAGGTTCCTGGTCTTTGTAACCCGTTGTTCCTCATCATGTGTTGGGAACAACAGGTGTGCCTATGGCGTGTGCTGTTGTGAGACCAGGAGATCCTGTGCATGTGGCGTCCAGCCTGGACCAGCCACAGAGAGCACCTGAGAGAGGCCAGCTGCTGGTTCTGCTTGCATCCACCAGGCGCTCTGCAGACGCTCCTTGACTGGACTGCTTCCTCCATCGTGCATCTTTTAGGCACCATATCCCAAGAGCTTTGCTTTTTTTTTGCTTTCTCTGTGTAGTATCATATCCGCTGGTTCTGCTTGCATCCACCAGGCGCTCTGCAGACGCTCCTTGACTGGACTGCTTCCTCCGTCGTGCATCTTTTAGGCACCATATCCCAAGAGCTTTGCTTTTTTTTTGCTTTCTCTGTGTAGTATCATATCAGTAGCTGGCGCCCCACATTCCACTCCTGCCAGTTCTTGGAAGAGCAGCACGTGCAGGGTTTCATTCACCTCTTCTAAGGCAAGGGTGCCATCCATCGGTGGAATTGCTCTTGTCTGGGCACAGAGCCCCCATGTGCTTTTGACCTAACAAAGACATTGATCCCTGGATTTCTCTTTGATGTTGGAACCATGGCACCACTACTTCCAGACGCAGCCTGTAGCAGGCGCTGGGGACACTGATTTGACTTTCCCAGTGTTTTGCTCCAGGTGGAGATGAAATTGCTGACACTTTGGCAGCTGCCAAACTTAGAATTAAGATGTCTTCCTCCCAGCGTATTCCGTCTGACATTTGCTAAAGCCCATAAAAAGTAATTGCCTTTTAAAATGGTGTTCAGGGCTAGGAATTGGCTGGCAAGAGCATTTGAGTGAAGGCATGAGGGAGAGATAGAAGTTACCTGTCTTTTCCCCCAGGGAAGAAGAGGGGAGGAGATAGCACCTTCATTTTCTTGGGGAGCAGAAGAGGTACAGTTGTGTAGTTAAATTTGAAAGAGAACAGCATGACACAAAAAAGAGAGAGGGGGGCATTTAACAAGAAAACTCCCCAGAGGGGAAGATTAAAATGAACAGGTGCTGGAAAAATGTTTCTGCATATTAGAGCTTAATTAGATTTGAAGATGAATTCCAGATGGGCTAATTATGTGTGAGTTGTTGCAGGTTATTTCTTGTAGGGGCAAGCGTGTATTTTTGGAAATGGTGATTTAGTTTGATTGGATTTGATTCCTACCTCCTACCATATCTCCTCCATCAAGAAACTGCCTCTTTGGGGGCCCCAGGATCCCACTTAGCAGACCTCACCTCTTTGGCGCCCCTATCACAGCCAGCAGAGTCTTGGAATGGGGAGGCCTGTCCTGACCGCAGCAGCCACTCGTCATGGGGAGGGACGAACGATCCTTTCCCAAATGGGGAAGAAAGTAATCTTGACTTAAAAGGAAGACAGGCAAAACCATGTGTCTGCAGGAGTGTGGCATCTGACAGGGCACAACAGCCTGCTGAGAGTGAGGGCAGGGCCACAGCACCCTGTGTAGCCCGTGGCTGGATATATTTGGACCATTTTTTCTGGAAGGGCAAAAGGAACACATTCTCTTGGCAGCTCTCTAGGCTGTGAATAGAGAAAAGGGGAGGGTATGGATAAACTGAGACATATTTCAGACCAGAAATTTAAGTCTTTAAGCAAGGAACAGGGCCACATGGTGCCTATGGACTTCCCATTAGGATAACGGACTTGGTTTGACTTAGGAACAGCTTGTGAGGACTGTCTCAGAAGGTGGCAGGGCTCCCTGATGTCCTCAGGAAGGCATAGTGTGCTGGAAGTGCCCTCACGTCACCTGCACACCTCGGGGAGACATGCCGGGGACCAACTTGGGTCTGAGAGCTTCAGTAAACGTCAACTTTTATGTAAGGCCCTATAATTGGAAATTATGGATGTATAATTTATATATGACTCAGCAAATGATTTATATGATGTTGTGATGATTTAGATAGAAAATATGACCCCCCTTGCAGAATCTTTAATGAAAAGCATCAGTTCTTATGAGTTTATTTCTAGAGCTCTGTTTGAACTCAGCAAGTTTGACATAAATCAGATCTAATTGTCATTTTATGATTAATGAACATATGCTGGCCGTTTTTCCCTATAATTAAACTTTATGTTCCATGCATCTGACAAAGCAGAACAAGTTCAGACTTTGACAGATGGGGGTTCTGTGTCTGCATATTTGTGTGTGTGCTCGTTTCTGCATGTCCTTATTGTACTGACGTATGAGGGCTGGGTTTCCATGAACTTGGTCATTCAGAGTGGAGAGCTTAGAATTAGTTCAGAGGCAAGGCTTCCAGTGCTTGCAGAGGGTGCAGAGGGCACAGACCGGGCCTGAGGGCAGCCAGTGCTTGCAGAGGGTGCAGAGGGCACAGACGTGGGCCCCCTGCCCGTCTCTGATGTGCCAGGCTGAGCACTATATGTGTGGGGCTGGAGGCACCCAGGATCCGAGAGTACCATTGCTGTCCTGGGTTGTAGCAGCAGGAAAGAGCTCCAGGAAGTGACGGAAGGCAAATTTGCTGCAAAACCACGCACCTTTCCTTTCTGCTCTGTGTGCACCGTGGCAAGAGTTGCCACAGTTTAAAAGGTGAGACATTCATGTGAAATGGAAAACATATCACTGTCACCTTCACTCACGGCCATTCACCTTTGATTGTTTCAGGACATAGACAAGTTTGGCAATGAGATCACCCAGCTGGCCCGCCCCCTGCCTGTGGAGTATCTGATCATAGACGTAAGTGCTCCCCTCATGCTCAGACTGGGTGGGCTGACCCATTAGGTGCCTTGGAGGTCAGGACGGCTGGGTGGTGGCCGCTGGAGGGGGAGGTGGTGGTGGGGGCTGGAAGGTTCGCGCTCTCTGCTGATGCAGTGTCTGGCGCAGAACAGGCACGCAGGAGGAGTTTGTTGAATCATGGAGCACCCAGCATTCTGAAAAGCTCACAATTTTAAGGGCTTTTCTTTTAGTTTCAGGTTTTTATTTCCTTGAAAACAACCTAGAGTTTAACTTTCCAGATCCTAAAGTGCTGACGGAAGATCCCCCTGCCCTAGATCCCTGGAAAGCAGCAAGCCCCAGAGGCTTGGGTTTGAGCCACGAGAGTGTCCGAGCAGTCTCGTCCATATACGCTGTGCTCGGCTTGCGGCTGCCATCCACCCAGCCTGTGCAGGTGCTGCCCTGTCACAGCACAGCTGCTGCACCCCATAGCAAGCAACGTGGGGACACACCTGTGACTCACTGTCCTTGAGGGAGGGGTGCGTGTGTTTTTCTGAGTGGAACTCCGGGAGCCAGGATGGCTCTGCTGCATCCTCCCAGAGTCTCAGCTCTTTCTGGAGGCTCTTTATGGTCATGCAGATACGGCCGTGCCAGGGGCCAAAGGGCTGCAAGCCCAGTGGGAGAGAGCCGGGGGCATTTGCAGCAGACCATGCAGCACAGTCAGGGCTGGAGGCGGCTCATTTCCGACACTGCTGCCACACCAGGGTCTGTGCATCTGATCTTGGACTCAGGACTGGCATGTGATGCAGACAGTAAAATATCATTGCATTTGGAGTGGTGGGTCCCCACGAGCCAAGCTCCGTTCAATGCTCCATTCCAATTGACAGCTCCCAAGAACACATTTATTACCTAGGCCATAAAGGCATCTGTTTTTTAGACTACCTAGGGTGTAATTAAGATGAAAACAGATTGATGGAACATACACTCAGGAGGAGTCGACATGATTTAAAACCAGCTTTCTAAGGTCTTCTCCCTCCCCAGCGGCTTCCCTCACCTCTTTCCATTCCTTTTGTAAAAGAAGTTCTTGCCTCAGAGCCTTTTCCTGTGGTACTTAGTTGCTGAGGGAGCATTCCACCCTGGGATACCCAAGCTCCCTATCCATGTTGAAGTGAGACATGGGGAGTCCCTTGAAAGCAGGTGCCCAAAGCAGTGTGTGCAGCTTCTTGCCCAGGGCCAAAGACCCACAGGCACAGGCCTGGACTAGGGTCGTTTTCTGTTCTGAAAACCTTGGGATGGCATGGCTGTTTCCGGCAGGGAAAGGTATGAGGCAACATTTCCTGGGCTTCTGTGGAACTGCTGGGGCATTGTCTAGCTGATGGACGTGGGTGGGGAGAGGGTATAAGTGCAAGACAATCCGGATGCCCCCCACCTCCTCCAGCAGGATGTTGGGGATGGTCACATGGGCCCCGTGGGCTTTGGTTCTATTACTCTCAAAGGACCAATTATAAGACACACAAATACCTCTCTTAATTCCGCAAGTTTATTTACTAGTAAGTATTTTGCAGTTGCCATCTCTGCTTTCCCAATAGGGGGGACCCGCAAAATCCTGGGCTTTTGTCTCTGCAGTGTGGACAGCACCTCCACTGCCTGTAGGGTCCTGCCTGCAGCTAGGATCCAGCACCAAGTGTGCCAGGCCTGTGCCAGATGCCCCACGTGTGTGAGCACAATGAGTCCTCACACCAGCTGTCGGGGGGAGGCACTCTGGTCACCTCTGACAGAAGAGCAGAGTGAGGCCCAGGATCCCTCACGTCAGGGCTCCGCAGCTAGTGTGAGGCCCTACAGCCCAGTCTGCAGCCTTCACCATGCTGCTGCATGGGCTTGTCTATGAGGGACCAGCTGACTCGGGTCAGAGGTGCCACCGATGGTTCAGCATGTCCCTCCAGAGCAGCTGGCACAGCTCAGTCCTGGGCCAGCTTCCCTGCAACAGCTCGCTGCCTGTGCTGGTATAGAAAACAGATGAGAACAACACTTTTGTTATTTCAAAATAGTCCCAGAGGAACCAGAATAGCTACTCTAAATCTGGAGGAGGTGCTGCTGCCAGTGTCATGTTGCGAAGGAAGCTATGTTGACTGAGAAGTGGTTGATGGCACATGCTGGTGTGCTTTGGGGAAGGGGGGGCATCTGCTAAGAGGTATAAAACCCGTATGTGTATTGATCCTTACACATTTGCCACTGTCCCTGTAGCTTCTATTGATTATATGGTAGATGCAAAGTGCCCTCTGTCGTTACGAAAGCCTGTCTGAGGGACAGGAAGGACTTAGCTCACCTTTTGATATAAGCTCTTGGCTCCAGCTCACTTATCTACGAGGGAGAGAGCAGAGCTGTGCCCTGAAGTCCTCACGGCCTGTGATTCTCATCCCTGCCTGGAAATGCCATGGGCTCCCTGGCGTGGCTCCCCAGCCCAGGGTCTCAGCAAGCTGCCTGGAGGTCGCTGTGCTGCTCAGAACCATCACTGGCTTGACTGCATGTGCCCTCTAAACCGAGGGACATTAATTCTGTGCCTCTTGAACAAAGTCATCTCCTGAGATGTCCCCTGGGCTTCTCAGTTCCTTTCCCGTGGTTCCGTTAGCGTGGACAGGTCAGCCTTTAGTACGCCTGTATATAAGGGGAGCAGCTATGTGAGGCGCAGACGGCAGCTTTGGCTGGGATGCCTCAGTACGGCTGGAGTCAGGTACTGTGGCAGTGGGGTGCAGAGCCAGGAGCTGCCCATGTGTATGGTGCAGTTTCAAAAACAAATGCTGGCTTTTTTTTTGGCAGCCAGCTGGTACAGGGACTGAACCCTTGACCTTGGTGTTCAAAAACAAATTCTTTAGTTTAATGCCCAGGTGTCAGAATTTCAGAATTTTCATTTAGGGATGACACTAATAGTTAACTATTAACTGTTCTTTTCAATCTAGAGCTTGTAAGATCTTTTGGAATTGCTGTAAGTAGTTAACGTGGACTTGGGGTGTTGGCCCTGTGCTGCTTGGAAGTGTTGGAGGGTAGTCCACACCCTGTTTTCAGTATAGTTCCTCATGGGCTTATATTTTTTCTTTATCAGATCACAACGACTTTCCCCAAGGATCCAGTTTACACTTTTTCTATTTCGCAAAATCCGTTTCCTATTGAAAACCGGGATGTATTGGGTGAGACACAGGTAAGCTCTTTGTCTTTAGAATCATAATTTACAGTAACTGGGCCGGCCTGGTGGCGCACTCGGTAGAGTGTGGCGCTTAGGAGTGCGGTGGCGCTCCCGCTGAGGGTTCGGATCCCATGTGGAGACCGGTCCGCTCACTGGTTGAGCGCGGTGCGGGCGCGACACCGAGGGTTGCGATCCCATTGCCGGTCGCAGTGCGGGCGCAATGCCGAGGGTTGCAATCCCGTTACCGGTCACGAAAAAAAGACAAAAAGGAAAATAATAATAATAATAATAATTTACAGTAACTGCTGATTGTTCATCTAGTGTCAGTATTATTTTTTCCAGAGAGCACCAAGCTTTCAAACTCTCCTGATTTATTCTTGTGACAAGGCCCAGCTTAATTCTTTTCTGGGATTCTGTTGATCACCTGAATACCTTCTCCATGGATGGGTGACAGATAACACAGAGGCAGATCTCCTTAAGTCCTTGGGCCTGCTGATTTGCCACAAGTACCATTCTCCATCGATTTCTTAATTTTCCCAAAACTTATCTGTCACTTAATGTCCTCTACCAACAACTTTTTATCGTTTGTTAGTAAGCATATCTCTTTGTGGATCCCACGGAAACAGAGAGGGTCTTGCATCCCCATCTGACCCACCGCTTTGTCTTGTCATCCTGCTATCTTTCTCAGACACCGTCCAAGCTGTGTGGCCGCATGGCCCAGCCTCCTGGGCCTTCCAGTGTGTGCTGTTTGTCTACTTGTCCAGCATGGCTCTGTTCTGGCCCTGCGTGCACCGGCAGAGCAGACCAGACCCAGATGGCTGTGGCTGCTGTGTGCATGCTGTGAAGGCAGTAGGCAGTCTGTGTGCACACGTTTGTTCTTAGATTGTGGTTTGTTAGAGACATCTCAGAAGGTAGCTGGGCTGGACATGGTCTGTAGGAGGTTGACATGGCTGTTGACAGAGTCTTAACAGAGAGGGTCTTGCATCCCCATCTGACCCACCGCTTTGTCTTGTCATCCTGCTATCTTTCTCAGACACCGTCCAAGCTGTGTGGCCGCATGGCCCAGCCTCCTGGGCCTTCCAGTGTGTGCTGTTTGTCTACTTGTCCAGCATGGCTCTGTTCTGGCCCTGCGTGCACCGGCAGAGCAGACCAGACCCAGATGGCTGTGGCTGCTGTGTGCATGCTGTGAAGGCAGTCTGTGTGCACACGTTTGTTCTTAGGTTGTGGTTTGTTAGAGACATCTCAGAAGGTAGCTGGGCTGGACATGGTCTGTAAGAGGTTGACATGGCTGTTGACAGAGTCTTCTCCCTCTCTGGCTCTGGTCTCCTCGCTGCCATCTCCTGGGAGATGAGGACCAGAAGCTCATTGCAGCTGTTTGGTCCTGTTTTCTTGGACCCTCTCCGTGGCAAAAGAAAGGAAGGGAGAGACATCTCTCAGTGTTAAGTGTATCTGATTGTGTTTTAGGAAATGGCTCTCTTCCTGGGTCTGGCACTGGGAATTGTAATGGAATGTTCATGTTTATTTCCTTCCCTCTCGGCCCCCTTCACTCTAGGACTTCCATAGTTTGGCCACCTATTTGTCCCAGAATACCTCGTCTGTGTTCTTGGATACCATCTCGGATTTCCACCTCCTGCTGTTTCTGGTCACCAACGAGGTCATGCCCCTGCAGGTAAGGGTCCCAGTGTGCTGTCCGCCTGAGCACCTGGCTTTGGTGGTCTCCAGGAGGGCTTTGGCTTTCCTCACGAACCAGATGTAGTTGGGAAACTGGACTAAAGCTTGGTGTTAAAGGTCGCCTCCCCCTCACCCTGCTGGAAGATGAATTTGTATGCCTTCAGCATTTTCATTGAGCGTCTGTGCCCTCAACGATGAAGGACGATTTCATCTGTTACAGTCACGTGGGAGGTAGAGGGGATTTAGCTCTGTCTTCTAGCTTAGCCCATCATGTGTCGGAGATTCCACAGTTAAGAAAGTTCCTGTCTTAACAGTTTCAGAATCACAGCCTCTGCTTTTTGCCATCCCCCCTCCTCCCAATCAACTTGGGTTTATTGCTTTGGCCCAGAAGCCTTGGCCAGTTTCCAGGCACCAAGTTCACAGCTGCACAGTTGGCATTTTTAAGACACACTGTGGGGGAGAAGGGGGTGGGTGCTCTGCAGACAGTGCTGCTCTCTGTGGGGCATGGGGTGGTAGATAGTGGGTGGCTCTAGCCAGGAGGCCCTTTGCATGTGCTGCTGTGGGCATCCTTCCACTTCAGCCTTTTTCCTCTGCCTGAGACCCGAGGAAACACCAGAGAGAAAGTCACACATTCTTTCTGAGCTACTGATACCACTGACTCAGTACCTTTTCCTGAAGGTGACAGAATAGAAAGGTTCCTCCCTCCCCGGGGCTTTTCTGTATCAGGTAGCCTACAGCAGGTCCTTGTCCTGCCAGGTTTATCTGTCTGTATTTTGTCCCCAAACCACTCACTCTGATGTCTGACATCAGGCACCATGACTTTTCCCACCATCTGTACCTTTCCCAAATCAGGCCAGGGAGCCACACCTCCTGGTCTCAGGTTCAGGCACAGGCACTGCCCATCTGAGTGGACAGGTGGGTGGTGAAAGGTGAGGCTCCCCCTCCATTGGGCCACCTCACTGGTAAACAGATGTTGTTCTCCCCCCATCTGTTAGAAGACCTTTCCTGGAGGTATGAGAGCCCCTGAAGGCTTTATACACCTCTTGTAGCATGAATGATTTTAATTCCCTGCGCTTTTATCCTGGAGACCTGGGATACAGATTTCATATTTGCAGGCATGATGGAGACGCACGTGAGGCAGAGGGTGAGCTGTGCAGGAGAACGGTGGGGCTCACAGCCCAGACCCAGGCCATCCTCTGAGCCTGCAGGACAAGGGATGAGAGCTTTTATCCTCCGGACTATTGAGCACACTGTCAGCCCCTGGCAGAGAGAGGCATAGACACCCACTTGGGGCTATTTGGGAAGAATTTAAATTTTAGCCCAATTTAGCACTTGCATTTATAGACCTAAGTTATAGCACTTTACATTTTATAGTTACGATCAGTAAGATTTTAAATTCCCTCTGAAATACGTCTTGATGTTGAGGAAGAAGAAACTGTTAGCAAGAGTCTGTCTGCCTTGGGCCGGCCCGGTGGCGCACTGCTGTAGTGCGCCGCTTGAGAAGCGCGGCGGCGCTCCCGCGGAGGGTTCGGATCCCACATACAGACCGGTTCCCGCTCACTGGCTGAGCGAGGTGCAGGAGCAACGCCGAGGGTTGCGATCCCGTTGCTGGTCCCGGTCCGGTGCGGGGGTGACACTGAGGGTTGCGATCCGTTGCCGGACACGGAAAAAGACAAAAAGGAAAAAAACAAACAAAAAAAAGAGTCTGTCTGCCTCAGGCAGAACAAGTGGGACCTTCCTTCTGGCTTCCTGCAGGACAGCATCAGCTTGCTGCTGGAGGCTGTGAGGACCAGAAACGAGGAGCTCGCGCAGACGTGGAAGAAATCGGAGCAGTGGGCCACCATTGAGCAGCTCTGCAGTAAGTATCTCCCACCCCCACCCTCGGCCACCAAGCGCTGGAGCTGGACAGCAGACACACTGCAAAGCTCTGTGCTGCCCATTCCGCCCTGGGCTCCTGAGCAGATTAATCCTGGTGGGCACTGTGGGTGACAGCACAAGCGTAGCCTGGACCTCCCACCAGGCACATGGCCGTTTTTGTCACGTACCTGTTGGCCAGGCCACAGATGTTAGGCCTACAGCTCTGTCCCAGGAGCCGTTCAGGAGTTGCTGTAGATGAGCAGAAGTGTTGTGTGTGTACAGGTACTGAGAGCACAGAGCCCTTGGTCTCCTCAGGCTTTTCTTTCTTCTCCCGCCAGTGCTCAGTTAGCACTTTCTTACTGGTTAGGAGAAAGAGGTGTGAAGTACCGTATTCTTCCTGTGAGGTGAGCTGTCCTGGTGGATATTACAGGCCTGAGGCAGGTGCCTTGTGTCTCTGGATGAACGCTCTACCCCAGCGAGGACGTCCCGGCCCTCGTCTCCGCTGCTGCACTGGTGCCCCCACTACGCCGCTGCAGCCTTCTTCCCGTGGCCTTTACGCACACATACTGCAGTTCTCTGTCAGAACAACCTTGGAAAACTTAAAAGTGTTCTTACCATTTTCTCAATCCATTGAGTAGGTACTGGAGTCAAAATTAACCAAGGAAAACTTCACTGGAATCTATGCCACAAGGGAGCCTGGTGGAGAGAGAGTTCTCGTGCTTTCTTGATAGCAAATTACCTAGAAGCGCAGTGGTCTTCAGAGCCTTGGTTTTCTTTTTCTGCAGTTCTGACAGCAGTGCCAGTCTGATGGCTGGCTAGATCTGCCTTATATTCTTCCTGCCTTCAAGTTTTGAAATACTGCTCAGATCTTCTAAAACAGGACGTGCCCACCGGGCTCTGTTAAGTGACACCCGTGGCCTTGTGTTCCTGTATGTACAGTGGTGGGGGTGTGCTGCTCTCGCTGCCCTGCAGCCCAGCCTGCCCCTCACATTCCCTACATAGCCACTCCTCCCCAGGGATGTATTTGGATCCTTCACACAGAAACATTGATTACAGCAGCTTTAGTGTTTTGGAGTCCCGGGCCGGCCCGTGGCTCACTCGGGAGAGTGTGGTGCTGATAAAACCAAGTCACAGGTTCGGATCCTATATAGGGATGGCTGGTTGGCTCATTGGCTGAGCGCGGTGCTGACAACACCAAGTCAAGGGTTGAGATCCCCTTATTGGTCGTCTCTAAAAAAAAAAGTAAACTAAAATGTTTTGGTGTCCCACTCAGCCTGGAAAGACTGCCAAAGAGACTGAGCACAGGGAGGCCAAGAGGGTGCAGGTGCCTCCCCTAACCCTGAGGGAGGGCAGCTGTCCAGGCCATTGGCCTCGTTGAGGGAGAGGAAAGAGTCTGAACACTTGGCATGTCTCTGCCATCACCATTAGGTGCTGGGCTCCACCCCCACACCTAGACGAGGTGAAAAGAAACCCAAGCTCGAGTCAGGAGGTGGCAGGATGGTAGCGTCTGCATCCACTGCCTGCAGCAGCCTGTACTGGGAGAGCTCCTGTGTTCACCAGCCCTCACTTCACTAAAACGTGTTGTATGATTGTCAGATTGTATCCACAAAGGTACTCTACCAGTGCACCTCAAATGACCATGTGCAGGGTTGGTAATGGAAATTAATATTAGAGTGCATTTGCACAAGTACCACAGGGCACGAGGCGTCCGGGACAGCATGAATGGAAGTCACGATAGCCGTGCTGCAGCGAGAAGAGCTGAGTGTATGGGAGCGTGCGTCTTTCTGGGTTGGAGATGTCAGTGTTCCTCAGATTGATAGCACGTTCCCAATCAAACACCCTCAGTAGACTTTTTTTTCCTCCATAAAAATTAACGAGTTCTGAAATTTATCTATAAGAGGGCCTAGAATAGCCGAGACAATCTTGGGAGGAAGAGTGAAGGTGGAGAATCTGTACATCTGACGAGCCGCTCAGTACTTTACTATAAAGTAGGTTTTGTGTGAGATGATTTTGCTCGACTCTAGGCTGGTGTAAGTGTTCTGGGCCTGCTGAAGGTAGGCTGGGCTAAGCCGTGAACTTTGGTAGTTTTAGTGTATTAAGTGCATTTTGACTTAAGATGTTTTCAGTGTGTAATGGGTTTATCAGGACATAACCCATCCTAAGCTGGGGAGCATCTGTATAAGAAGCTCTACATATTGACAATCAATAATCAAACAAAAAGCCTCAGCAGAAACTGGGCAAAGGCCTTAGACCTTCTGCAATAGGAGATATCGGAATGGTCATTGTCATTAGTCGTCAGGGAAATGCACATTAAAACAAGTGGGACACACTACACTTTTTTTTTTTTGTCTTTTTTCGTGACCAGCAACGGATCACAACCCTCAGTGTTGCGCCCGTACCGGACCGGGACCGGCTACGGGATCGCAACCCTCGGTGTTGCCCCCGCTCCTCGCTCAGCCAGTGAGCGGCCGGTCTGTATGTGGGATCCGAACCCTCGGCGGGAGTGCCGCTGTGCTTCCCAAGCAGCGCATTGTAGCAGTGTGCCACCGGGCCGGCCCAGGGACACACTACACTTTTGTCAGAGCGACACAAATTAAAAATCCCAACAGCGCCCAGTGCTGGTGAGGGAGTGGCACGGCAGCTGCCGCAGGCCCCCGCAGGGTGCACGTGGTGGATGCTCTGGAGAGCTGTTCAGCAGCTTCTTAGAAAGTTCACCTGATATGTCTACCCTGGGACCCAGCAGTGCCCCTCCTAGGTTTTTACCCGAGAGAAATGAGAACGCAGGTCCACAGAAAGATCGTGCAGGAATGTTCACGGCTGCTTTGTTCATAGTAGCGCAGAACTGGAAGGAACCCACATGTCCAGCCACAGGAGATTAGGGTGTTCACACAGAGCAATAGTCCTTGGCAACTCAGAGGAGCAAATGGGCATGCTGGAGGTCAAGGAGGCGTTTCCTGCTGAGGCCATGCCAGTTGAGGGCACCAGTGCTGCCGACAGCCTCTGTGGCGCCTGCTAAGTGTGAGCAGGACAGGCCACTGTGGGGGTTCTCAAGCTGCCCGCACACACTATGGAGCCTCAGGTCGGGTGAAGCGCCTTCTCTGTGCAGAAGTGACGAGCTGGCTTCTCTTCCCTCCCTGCAGGCACAGTTGGTGTACAGCTTCCAGGCCTCCATGAGTACGGCGCTGTCGGGGGCTCCGCACACACCACCACGGCTGCTATGTGGGCCTGCCAGCACTGCACCTTCATGAACCAGCCGGGCACGGGCCACTGCGAGATGTGCAGCCTCCCTAGGACTTAGGCCCCGGCCCACTGTAGCCTGGAGCCTTACGCGACATGTTCCCTGTACAGCCCCACTGCAGGCAGCCCTGAAGGGGCGGGGGCTGGCTACCCTGGGGTCTCTGACCCACTGAAGCTTCTCAGCACCGTTCTTCCCTGGAGAGACGGAGCCACGGCTGGTGGTCTGCAGGCTGAATACAGTCTCCAAACTGGAAATGCAGAGTGGCCCCTCCCGAGAAGGTCCCACATGCCTCACCCAGTTATTGCAGCCCCACTGCAGTGGAAGGACCAAGCACCTCTAAGTCATCACCTGGAATTGGGGTGCAGGGCCAGGTCACTGCTGCCATCCAGCTTTCTCCTTCCTTTTTGATGCTCCCTACACCCCCACCCCCACCCCCGTTTTTTGGGTTGGGAGCGCTTTGTTGCCTCTGTGTCCGGTTGTTCCAGGCAGAAGCCCTGCCTGTGGAGGCCGCTTTTCCTCTTGCAATAGCCATCGTCTGGTGGACACTCGAGTGGCCTCCTGTCTGCTTGATCCACAGGTTAATTTGCTGCCCACCCCTTTCCTCCTCACCTGACGTCCAGGTGGGATTTTAGAGTCTGCATTGGTTGTAATAACAGTTATCAGTAGTTCCTGCCCAGAAGACTTTTATTTATTTTTTTTAAAATAAAAACTGCACCAAGGGGGCGCGGGTGGGGGGTGAGAGTGACTAGTTCCCACTTCCTTCCCTCCTTTAGTGAAGCCCCTTGCGGGTGTGTTCAGGGTGGGTGAGTGTGGGTGGGGGTACTGTAGTCAGTTCTCTGAAGTAAACCTCAGTGCCTGAGATTTTTCTACCAAGCCACACAGCTGTGACAGATGTCAGCATGGCAAGCTGAGCAGGAGCAGAGTGGTGGCTCTTGCCCAGCAGGCGGTCCCCCCAGATGGCCCAGGTGGGTGAGCTGGGTGCCCAGGACTGGCTGTTCTGGTCCCCTGCCCCACGCAGTGCTCCTCTTCCCACTGCCTCACCTAGCCCCTGGCTATTGAGACGGGCCTTGAGGGAGGGCATTAGGGGCCTGGCCTCTTGTGAGGGCACCTTGGGACCTCTGGGGGGCACTGACCAGTTAATACTGTACTGACAGTATGAGGTCCGGGCAGTCCAGATCAGGGTCATGGTGGGGTCTTACATGTGTGGTCTCTGAGTTTTCTCTGTAGCTGGACTGTGGCATGGCCCTTCCCTCAGGGGAGTGTGGGCATCTTGATGCCTCTTTGCCTTAATGACAGCTGAATCTGAGCTGCACTGCGCCCATGGGAAAGGCCAGCCCAGCCAAACTGCTTGGGGACTTCTCTGTCTACCCCAGGGGTTCAGTCCTGTGACCTCGCTCATCCTTGGTACTGTGGACAAAGAACACTTGCCTGTCAGGTTCTTATGTGACCAGGGCTGTGGCTGGTTGTGCACCTGGCAAGGGACCGCAAGTGGAAGGCCCAGGCAGTTCATCTGCTCTTGGGACTCAGGGCTGATTGGCGAGGCCAGGAGAGGTGGGGAGCAGCCAGGCTGAAGTAGACTTCAGTGGCAGTCATCTCCCTCCTGAAAGCTGCCCTGGCTGGAGCTTCACCCTCTGTCTCATCTGGTCCCACAGATCAGCCATGAGACTGGATGGCCTGGGTGCCCCGGGGCCCTTTGCATACCTGTGTGTTCCAAGGACATTCATGCTAATTCCGTTTCCCACCACCGGGCAGGCGCTGGGCAGCACAGACCTCTGGAGACCTCGCCGCCACCGCTGTCAACACCGGTTCCTCTTCCATACGCTGTCATCTTTATCCACCAAGCTAGTTTCCTTGTGTTCTCAGCCAATGTTTTCCTCACCTTGAAGTTCTGGCATCCACATAATTCATGTTTTCTTTTGTCTTAGCTAAAGAAAAAGCGTGATTTCTCGGTTCTGATTCTGAGTTACTCTTTGTTCAGTCATGCACTTTATTTCATTGTCCAAAGAAAGTTGGATCCAAGTGCACAGGCTTGGGGGTGAGCTCTGCCAGGGGTTCAGGTCCTGGGTGGCTCAGCTACCTCCTCTTACAGGGGTCCCCCAGCCCCACATCTCCACACCTGCCCTCAGTGTGGACACATCTGCCCATGCCAGTAGCCACCTAACCCAGAGGGGGTTGAACGAACGCACACCTGCCCAGGTGAACACACAGTGGTCACCACATCTCCTGGCCCAGAGAGGAGGTGGGGTCTTGCCCCAGCCTGCCAGACCTCAGCTCACTTCCCACCAGTCTGCTAAGATGTAGGTGTTCTTGCTGTGGCT